GCTCCGATTTAATCGAGATTTAGCGGTCACTGGGCGCCGTAATGCAATCAAAGCCAATGCCCGCACGTAAATCAGATCGAGAAATCCAATAGCAAATAACACTTATGAGTACGACGAAATATAAAGCTGTGACGCCACTTCGTGTGAGTTCAGCATTTACTGTTCGCCATCGGGAAAATAATTAACAATTTATTTCGATATTCAATAATAATTTCAATTGATTGGTCGCTATCAAAGGAGACAATAATTTCCCGTCCACAAAGGAATGGTGGGCTAAAATTCGCGTACGTGCTTAATATTCAATTATAGCCGGTGTAGTGCGCAGCGAGGCGGCGAAGGCGCAACAGTCACCGGATGCGCAGGAGCGCAGGAGAGCGCGCGATATGCAATTTGTCCGCCAGCGGAAGCTGCACATCTCTAGCAATCTCCCGTGGCTCGCGGCGTTGCGCCACCATCCCCACGCGAGCAATACGCGCAGCGCGCACGTAATATAGTATTACTGAGGAAGCTAATGGTGCATTTTACTTTAACGGAAAATACTGAGCACCTTTCTGACGGCGGACGGCAAAACGTAGCAATTGAAATCTTAGTATTTAAAGTAACTGCAATTAAATAATTTTTAAAGTTATTACCCACTTTGTTCAGTGAAACAACGAATTTTCCAAATGTTGAATGTTGATTTTTTATTTATTTAGTAGTACCTATCAATTTATACGTTTCATTAATAATTGCTCAAAATTTTTAAAAGAAAGTTTCATAATGTGTTGCTATTGTTAATTGGAGCCGTGTATGTGTATATAACATTGTAATGGAGTACGGAACATTTTCCCGCAATTTTGAATTAGTATTCCACAGTTACCGCGATTGACCAGTTGTAATATTTTGGACAATTATTAATCACAGTAAGTGTGTTATTTATACGTAAGATGTGGACTATGTAGATTAAAACAAGCTGTGTTACGCCAAAATACTGTGAGCGCTGTTACAACATATACTACTTTTTTTTTTTTATATTACCCGACGAGAGCTTTGCTAATATTATGTGCATTGCATTCAAAGTACATACACTTAGCTTTCGAAATCCTGGAGACAACTGCACATTATGTAGTGCAAACGAACTTCCACACAATTTCAGTTGGCGTGAAATAAATATTACTGAAACGTAGATCGTAGGTAACTGAGCAGTAGTTACACCCACAGTTCCGCACAGAATTTATGTCGAAACCCAACATTCACTACGGAGAACATTTGCAGCAAATAACCAAGGCGTTAAAACAACTAACACAAACAACTGGCGCACTTAACAAACAGACGTATCCGTATCAGATACAGCGTATCGAGACGGCAGGACATTACTTTTGCGCTATCGATAAAGCTCAACGGTAAGCGAAATAGTTTTGCAACACAGAGAACATAAATAATTGTCATAAAATAGATAGGGTTGATGGATGGACGGTGAGCCCTGCAACTAACGAGGAAGCGTTCAACAAAGGTTCGCTATTCCACCGTCGCACTGTGCATAACACGGCGCATTACCATAGATACGTTGCATTCGAGTTCACTTTTTCTGCAGTGCACCCATTACTTAACAATTACGAACATTGCGTTATTCATGAACAGATGATGCGAATATTCGCCGTTCCGCTACGCCATGCACTACTTGTAGATGCATAAAAGCGTGACTGGACACAGATAAGATCTTTAAATATCCAATTGTCCAGTTCACACATCAACGACATTAAATTAACTTATAGATGTACAAGAAACAATGCGGCAGGTGTAAAACGTATATATCCCATCTCGAGAGTCGTACACAACATTAAAGGCATCAATGAAAAATAGATTTCGATAAAAGAATAAAGTGAGAACAAGCTTGGGCACTACTCTTAATTAGATCATTTATCTGGAATCCAACTCTTAACTGCCGTCGTGTTATGAGAAAAACATCATTTATTTTACAGCAGGTACCTACTAACTTTATCCATTTGTGGCCTGTAGGATTGCGGCGTAATTCCTCATTTATTGAATGATCGGCAAATTTTTAATTTAAATTTACTTCATAAAGTCAGGGAAGAATGGGTGTTCAAAAATTATAAATAACTACTTCTACCTGTTAGAAACTGAAATATATATTATGTGTATATTACACAATGAGAAAATAAGTTATTTCAAAGAGGTAAAAATTTCGGTTGCGTATCGTACTTCAATTAAAATCTTGTGCGTGAACTTAAATTGCCAAGATTAATGATTGTTCTGGAGCTGTCACACATGAGCAGAGATATAGATCGTATGATTGCGCAGTTATTTGTAAAATAACTATATGCAAATGCTTATTTATTCAAATAGAGTGAGTGACGAAATTACTGTAAAGCGGTTGTTACAGCACTATTTGTGAGCGACATGTAGGTACTATCGCCTACATTTGCGTCATCTTAATAAATCATTGCACGCTGGTTTAGTCTTTACGCAAAGGCGATTTCGTCTATAATGGCGTGTCTAATTGTGATACATGGTGTGGCTCACAGTATTGGCGCGTTGTCCAACAGCCAGGCATGTGTCACACACGCCACGAGAGAAAGCGTGCTTAATCAGATAACTCAGTTTGTCAACCGAGCTCCTGAAATCGGGTCGAATGTCGATATACTCGATTAATTAACTGACGGCCCGAAAAGTTGGAAGTAACTGGTACGACGAACAAAAAACTGTTCTTGTGAAACGGGTTCGATGTTTTAAAATAAAATGCTCACAACATATTGTCATAATTTAAATCGAGCTAATTATCAATTAAACCACGTCTGAGTTACCCTACATCTACATTTTTGACTTATAAAAACCCTTGATTGCTAATATATATGGGTAAAATCAGATTATTTATGAATATTAATTCTATATAGGTAGGTATGTGTTTATATAGGAATGTGTGTGTATGTGTGTGTATATATATATATATATATATATATATATATACATACATACATACATATATATATATATATATACATATATGTTTATAAATGTCATTATATATCGAGCGACAAGATTAATTTCAGTGTAAAGATAAATATGTAAGCGTTTAAAAAGACACGTTAATAGATTTAGGATTAGACGACGTTGTCTTATGTTGGGTTTCTTACGAACTTATTAATGTTCACAAAACTAAACAAATTATTCAACTACCTGTAATACCCAATGAAAAAAAAAAATACTGAAATATCTCTGTCATCATCATCATTGAGTTTAATCTAATTGTACTCAATTGAATATTGAACAAAATTGATAATAAATTTTTTTGATTCTTGAAATTGAAATAAATACCTAGAATAAGAATTTAAATAATTTATTGGAAGTATTAAATTGGGAAACTTTAAAATCCATTTTACAGTTCAAATACCTCTATAAATTCTGTGATCTTATTTCCTCATTTTGCGCCTCCGAAAAGACAGTAACTGGCCCCCGTTTATTATACCACAATTTAAAGGTCTCATAAACAACTAAGCAAGTTGTAGTTGTAAATGAAATCAAACTAAATCTTGTGTTTGATAAACTGCGTAATTTAAACATTTAAGATTGTCGGTTACCTGAATCAATGTATCTTTGTCCGCGACAATAGCTGTGCAAAATAACTTGAACATTGTTCTATATTAATTGCAACTTTAAAGCAGTCACTATATTACGTAAACCATTACCGTTCTATTTTAAATTACTTTGAGGAAATTTAAGAATCATTATTTCAAATCGCATGCCCCTAAAACTTTTACAATACAGTTAATATGAAGTAGAGTGCTATCACAATAAAAATATCGTCTACCGCTATAAATACAAACTTTAACACAGCTTATCTCTTTTTTGAATATCTTTGACAAAGCGACATACTAATTCGCGTTTACAGTTATGATACATTATGTATATCGACAAAGTCCTCAATTTTTTTGGGAATTCAAATAAAACAGTAAATGTTTATATTTATTAAGGCGACGCGATCGTATGTTTGTTAGAGGCGGAATGAACCGTTACTATTTTATACTTGGGCTACTCATTAGTATGCGCGATTCTGTTGAGTTTACGCGGCGCGCCCGGTCCCCGGAGAAAGCTTGCGTTCCGCTTATACGAATCCAAAACTACCCGTTCAAGCACAAATGACTCGTAAATTCATAGGTTGATGGTAAAATGCTGTTGTTATTGCCTTCCTTCAAATGCAGAGCCATCGATAGTACAAAGTTGCAGCGCGCAACTGGAATTACTAATACCAAATCCAGACATTTCATCTTATTTAACTTATCTTTTTCTACTATGCATATTCATGGTATTAAAATGTGATCTGGTGAGCGTTGCAATTAGAATATGGCTGCGTGGCGTAGGGCTAGCAGCGGCCTGAGCGCGGGGCGCAGCCGACTCCAGTCGTGGCGCGCGAGAACCGATCCATCAATCAGAGGCGACGATCGGAGGTGCTTTCTCGTCGTTAGCCCTATATGGCGCGAGCTGCCACCACGCCTCGCCAGCCACTTCTTTTTCACTTCATTTTCTAACTCGTTCATAGAAATCTCCCAACAGCATATTTAACTTTTTAAAGAGAACGGAAATGGTCGAAGATTTCACGCGAGTTTAAAGAGCATTTAAATGCGTATGAAATTAAGATGCCCGCTGCAACGATGTAATCGCACTCGTTTAACGTAATAGCTGAGAAACGCGCGCAAGTAATCGCATTTTGCGTATTCGCGAAATGCTTACGGCGCTCCTTGGTGCTTTCGCCTTAAAACTTCGTAATAAATATCCTGGGAGCGTAGCTTCTTGGCGTCAGGTGTGTCTAATGACCACCCTCGTTGCCAATTTATATGACTCTGACTATGGACATCCATTTACCATTCAAGTTTTATGACTTCCATATACATCTGCATACATACATACATAGGAGTCATAACTTGAATGGTAATAACGTTTTCTTTGTGTGATATTTACATAGGGCTGAGAAAGGTCATTACAATATTTCATAATTGTTTCAGAGTGTAGTAATGCTGGTCTTCCGAGAAGAAAAATCACCAGAAGATGAAATCAAAGCTTGGCAGTTCTGGCACGGTCGACAACATTCAGTAAAACAAAGGATATTGGACGCAGGTTAGTGAACTAGCGTAAGAAGGCATAGATTGCCAAAGTTTACGAAATAACTCGACTATCAGGTAGTAGCGTATACCAGGGGTTAGAGACAATATTTAATGCACAAAAACAGTCGTGCTCGAGGCGACACAGAATGCCTGTGCAGTTGCGTGCGGCGCGGACGGCGGCGCGACGGCGGCAGTGCTCGGCCGGCACGCAGGACCTAATTACCGCGCTGCGGGCACGGCGCAGACGCACCCGCGCACCGCGCCCTCGACCACCACCCTGCCCCGCACCACCATTACATCTCGTTAGGACATTTGCATAAATAATATGCGTCTTCCTCCAGCAATTCCCCGCACCCCGCGCCTTAATACCTATCAATCGCCCTCTAAAAATAAAACAAGTATCGTTACACGCCACCTAGCTACGCTGCGGTACTTGCTGCAAGTTTCGTATTACGGTAATGACACATTCCTTCACATCCACCTGATTAAAGATATGAAGCAGAAAAAATGTTTTCACGATTAAAGGCTACTAAAATAAATCTCAAAAACATTTGACGAGTCGAGCTCTTCAAACTCTAGCAGGAAATAATAAAAATTCGTGAGAAATCTCCGTCATACACGTAACAAATTTCATAAATAAAAATCATCTAATCGTGGTTATAGCCAGCATAAACATTGCTGTTTACTATTCACAGAGGTCGGTTTTGCGTGCCAGCTTGTCTAATCCGTAGAACGGAGATATAAGCAAGGGTACAATATCGTCGCGCGCGGACATAATTACAGCGTGATAATATCGAGGAGCGCCTTCATTACCATATTAATTGCGATGAGCCTCCGCGCACCGCACGGCGCTCTTTACCACGTATCACTCTATTACTCGATCACTCTATGAGAATGTTTATTTTCTTTGCCTTTGCTAACCAAGCTAAACTGCAAATGTATTCTTTGTCAGATACGATCTTTTCATTTCCTTCCAATTACGTCCTGTGAACAAATCAAAACTTTTATTAGTTTTAATATATAACTACAATACAATTTTTTGCGGTACTGTTAAAGGCAATGGCGGATTAAATAGGAAATTCACTTATTTTACGGCCCTGTAGCGCATAGTGATCAACAGAATATATGTTTGCGTCATCGACGGAATGCTTGTTTATTAACCGCATATTGAAGTAAACACTGCTAATATATGACACTATACATTCTAGCATTACTTAAATGGTGTCTGTAGCATTTGTAATGAGTAATGCCGCGGCTACAGCAGTGCCTATAAATTAAATCTCAAGGAAAATAAAAACATGGAAACCATTAATTCGCGCGGCGGGCCAAGTTTAATGTCAAGGTTTTTTAGCTTATCTCGATGTTAGTTAAGTTTTATTTTTTACTTTGTGTGATTATGTAAAATGGAATAATGTTCACACGAATGTAGATTTGTTATAATACAGTATATTAATAAAGTTTATATGGGAAATAAGCTACTAAATGACTCTTTGTTTGGTTATGTACTTGTAAAAGTGAAAAATGATCTATTAAAAATATAATATAAATTACTTGCCAATCGGCTTACGAATGACCGAGATGTTTTAATGTTCTCAATTTCCTGTTGCCATGATTAATCGCTTTTAATTATGTGTTAAATGGTTGTCGAATTTGTTTACGGCATGCTGTAAAAATTGATAGAAATGCACCGTGAACGCATGGAACGAACTTGGAAGCAGCGTCAAGGGCGACACCAGACACCTGTGCGCAGGCGTGTGAAAGCGCGAAGGGGAACGGATGGGCGCGCGGGGAAGCGGCGGAGTTCGCAACGCCCCGCGCCTCCGCACAATGACTTCTCCGATTACCTACACGTCTTCTTGGATCGCGTGTCTGGCGCTCGTTGCTGCATCCTTGCCTCCACACTTATTCCTCTTGACAGTTTTTCTACAATGCTTCACTGGTCCAACAGATTACTTCAATATTTTGACGACGAGAAACAAAAACTATAATTGATATGACCGTTTGCTTAATTAGTATAATGTTCGTCCCTACCGCAAAAATTTACCATAAAAACATGAGAGACCTACCGGTCTCATCAATCATCATCGGTCATAATGTGAAAAATATTTGTGTTGGATTTGTTTGGCGCTATGTGCGCGCGTTGATGTTTAACACTGGCGAGTTTTGGAGTTACACTAGTTATTCTTTATGCGTACAAGCATATTGAAGAATGAAATTATGTAAATGGTGGCAAGTTTTCAAGTAGTAGTGGGAGTGGTTATGTGGCACGCAGGAAGTCACCGAGTACCCACATAGGGTCGTAAATTTGTAGAAGCTGTTAAAACAATAAGACTGCGTGAGGGCGGGCGGGCGTCCTCCTCGGCCCATAAACACGTCAGCGGAGCGCCCCACAGATCGCAGCCAGACTGATAGCAGGCCGGCCGCCAGCGCCCACGCGCCACTAAGCCATGCCACCACCGCACGCCATATGCCAGGGCTCACAACATGTGAAACCAATGAAATCGAATGCAACACAATTCGTAAATAAACCTTACCTGCATACTTACAAGTGTTGGAGATAGCAATTGAGGTCGTCAAATTCTAAAACTTTAGTGAATCGGTCCAGCTGTTTCACTTGTCTTATATAGTATATAATTTTTTCACAAAGCACAACCCTAACCTCTCTATGTCGATTACTCACTAACAACCTCCGCGCTTGTCTGGTAATGCAGGCTTATTGCACCGAATGCAATAAACATCTGTAACGAAATAAACACCAGACTGTGACAAAATAAACTGCATAACGAATTTATTTCTTGAACATTAGGCACCCACGAACTGATTGCCAATAACGGGAGTGTCGAGGACATTAAATTAAGATCGATTGGTATTTTTCACTTCGAAAACTTTCAAATATCGACCATCCTATTATGGGTTAAATGTTTGCATAATATGTTAGACATGTTATGCCTATAGGTACTTACTTATCTATGTAATATCTAAGTGTAGAATCTCAATCGACATTCAGCGCGTAAGTGCTCGTAGCCTTAAGAAAAATATCGAGATGACGCTCAATTTATACAAATTTGCCTCGGGTGCCCGCAGGACATGAATGGAAATGTACTAATTTCCATAAACTTCAGTCTAAGACGAACTAAGAAACTTTGCAATCGTTGATAAATCGATCCTATCATGTGATTATTCACGCCCAACAAATAAATTTCCGTCGTCGATGACGTATTGTGCGTTGATATCTTAATCGAAATCTTGTGCGCCATTACAGCAGTGTTACTTGTGGAGAAGATTAATGACAATTTGTCGTTTTGTTGCAGACACCAAGAACAGCATTGGGTTAGCCGGCTGCATCGAAGAAGTGGCGCACAACGCTATCGCCGTCTACTGGAACCCTCTCGAGAGCGCCGCTAAAGTACGTATACACATATCCCTTCACACAATTTTCCTTATTCATATACAAGACACACTCCTTTTGACCTATAAAAATATCAATTCAGAAAAATATATGTGCACAATTATTTTTCTATAGGTTTTCAGCAAAACACAAATTTTATCCATTTATCCAACACGCATAACACCTTTGTGTAAGGCTGCAAACAGATTGACTGCATGTTTGCAGTTAAAGCGTGAAGCTGAACTCGACTTCATGGAGGTAATGCGTGAAGTCGTTATTCGAGATCTCGACTGCATGAAGTTGATAACGACTTCACGCATTAACTCCATGAAGTCGAGTTCAGCTTCACGCTTTAACTGCAATCTGTTAACAGCCTAAGATAAACAAAGCAATGTAGCTATTTGATCAATAGTTAAACGCTTAAGTTCATTAAACAAAATTGAAAGTCATATCATGATTTTATAACACATATTAAAAGGGTAATTAAGTAGAGTCCCGCAACCTTATTTGGTCGAGAGGCAAATCAAGCAAAAAAGCGCCTTGGCGTCTGGGAGCCGGCCCGTAGCCCATACCCACGGAACGTCTGCCGTATGCTCATTAAATTATAGAATAATATACAACACTGTTTTAATTGAATATATTATAAATACTCATACATGTACTTCACTTTCAGAATAAAAACGAATAATTAATGTTAATACGCACAACACGAACCTTATCAATTTTCATAAAACAATTAAGACGCTAAGAAACAACCCCAATTGGATTATAATAAACTAATAAATGCTTATCAAATGAGTAACTTTGCAAACTTAAGTTATTCGTAAATTCTATAAAATTCATTAGAAATACAAATACAATAACGCTAATAATCATTATAGGTACTAGATAGTATATACAATGTTGTTCTCAAGAAAAAATATTAGATGGAGAATTCAACTCGGGTTACTGTACGAAAAGACGTATTTGTTTTTTTCTTTATTTTTCTTTTATTGCTGCAAATTGCAGGGATAGAGCTAGTCAGTTATCGATATCCGTAATTATTTATTGTTGGTGGGTGAAACCGTGGCGGATGCGAGTCGTTTGCGACAGATAATATGCGTCAGGACAGTGATCGGTGGCAGTGTCGGCGCGGTAAAAACGCGAGGGGGTCATTTGCATAGACCGCGGTAATGAGCGGGCGCCGCTGCACTGCCCGCCTCCGCGATCTGGTCCAGCCACCGGCAGCGCCTGCCATTCTAAACACACCCTACACGTTTACATGCACTAGCGCTTTCAATGAGCTCCATTCAGTTCGGCACTTACTTCGTTTTAATGTTTCCCACTAACATTATTCGTGACGTAGACGACTAAGTATCGCGGCCGCGGCGCCTACCTCCCTCTGCGCTCGGATGTCTAACGTTTTGTTACTCGCTTTTCAGATACACAGTGCAAATTAACTTCGCAATTAAATTTCCTCTATTTTTATTTTCAGATCAATATCGCTGTCCAGTGCCTCAGTACGGACTTCAGCAGTCAAAAAGGAGTAAAGGTTAGTATTTGATTTCACGACTATGCGCGAGTCTTATTTCATTGTTTCGTTTCTTGAATAAATGCTTAATTGCGTTCATTCACAACCATTGCTGAATACAGGTGTATCTATTTTAAAATACGCGTACATACTACATTATACTTAACAAGTACATTATACTTAACAAACTGTAATTGCCATCAATGAATATAAATAAACTGATTATTGAACTAAGATGAGACAATATACAGTATTAACATACTTGTACAATGCACTGTAATCCCAGATTGAGATAGGCATTACGAGTGTCATATAATAGCGTATTTAATGTGCGTGGGAAATTGAATGCAATCGTTGCCTACGGTTGTTATTAGACGCGTTTATGTTGAGGAGTTAATTAAGTTTACGTGCTGAAAGTATGTAAATTAATGTTGCGATGCGTTCAATTGACGGGGTCGGTAACCGCGTAGTCGCGAGACGCCTCGATAACTACGTTGCGTATGTATCGTTATGTGTCGGACTTGTAGGTTAACAGCGGACGTTTGATTACATTCATGAAAATATATTTCTTTAATGATTGCAATATTAGCGATTTATACTATTGTCAATTCATTGCAAATGTATTTTTAAAGATCATTAAAATTTTCGTGAAAACCTGGTTATTTTGGTATAACATCAGTATCATGGTTTAAAAAATCGTTCATTGATTTTTCGATTTTTTAGAATTGCAGTTTCCGTATTAAATTATCGGTGACGTTTTAGCACTATTAGTTATATACAGGGTTGAGTTGCACGCGAGGTGATAACGAACCAGTTCGCTATCACATTCTCAATTACCTATCCAATACGCGGTGACAGTGGAACAGTAGATGAAGCCGCCGCCGGCCTCCAACCGCCGCAATTAAGACGTTTCAACGCGATTCGACTCAGACACGTGCATATTTTCCTTGTTCGTAAATTTATCGCAATTATCCCTTATAAACATTTATAAAACAGTTTTTGTCCAATAACAGTTGACGCGGACCGTGAAATTGATGTACTTACATCCAAAACTGAATTGTTGATTTGTTTAGATTATTATTGCCGTAAAGGGAGTTTGATGGACGTACTGAGATTACACTGATGTTGAATACATAACCGTAGTGCAAACAAATATAAATATATATTTAAATTTATGTAAATATAAATTGTTACAGGGTTTGCCGTTGCATATTCAAATAGACACGTTCGAGGACCCGAGAGATACACAAGTATACCACAGGGCATATTGCCAAATTAAGGTGTTCTGTGATAAGGTGAGAATATCAGCCACAATTTGTAAAAAAATTAAATTACATACTTTCATTATTTTCATCGCTTATTTTATGTCGTTAGGGTGCCGAAAGAAAAACAAGAGATGAAGAAAGAAGAGCAGCAAAAAGAAAAATGTCAGCTACAAATAGAAAGAAACTGGACGAAATCTACCACCCTGTGACAGAACGAAGCGAGTTCTATACGATGGCCGATTTATCAAAGCCACCGGTATTATTCAGCCCTGCTGAAGACATCGACAAACTGGCCGGAATGGACATCCAAGGCTTCTACGGACACGACGACGCTGCGTTGGCAGAGGCCCACCTAAAGGGAGCTTCGCCTTTCCTCTTGCATGCAGCTAAACCACAGGCGCCGGCGCTGAAGTTTCATAATCATTTCCCACCAGATGCTCCAGCGTGAGTTCAATGAAATAAAGAATACAAATTCATATACATTTTGGAGCAAATAAATACATAGATTTCAACTCTGAAGATTATATTAGGTGTTCTGACGTTGTGTCAAAAATTTCAGGTACAGATCAGATGTGGGTGGGTTATCTCCATACGGCGACCGCAAAGACTCTCTGGAGTTAGAGGGTGTACTGGGTAAACGCGCGCGCACGAGCACACCACCGCTCAGCGAGCGCGTCATGCTGTACGTGCGCCAGGACACCGACGACGTGTACACGCCACTGCACGTAGCGCCACCGACCACGCAGGGCCTGCTACATGCAGTAAGTACCCTATTTGTTTGGTTCTCCCGCACATTACATTGCACATGATACGTTCCTTTACTTCTTACTTACTTTATCTCGCCAATGAGAAAAAAATATTAAAACCTCAAACTATCACATGTCACTTGAACGCAGTATTGGAGTCAAAGTAACGTATCAAGGTGCACACCGCTCGATGCGGTAGCACGAGAATAACCTTGGTGATGTCAGCTAACCGCAGAGCACGAGCAAGCGAGAGAAACAATTTTGCTTTCTCGGTTTCTCGTCATGTTGTTGATCGTTTATGAACGCATAATATTTAAAATTTTAAAAATAAACGATAAGGAATCGAGACGCTTCGTCCGCGCTGCGGGCGCTGGCCGTGGCCGAGAGGGCGCGGTGGGTGCCCGCCGCGTCGCTGTAACCGATGTGGCGCTTCATAACCCCGTCTAATTCACACGTCATCATAACTGCATGTTGTAATTAACCCCGCGCAGCCGCTGCCCGGTGCATCGGACCACTCGATACGGCTCCTCGGGAGCATGTCTTTGTGAAACCACTACACCGGTTACTGAACCACGTACGATCTGAAAGACGAGACGTCTCGTTTGAAAAAAGCAAAATCCTATTGTAATTCTTGTTTTTTGCTTATTTTCAGATTGAGAATAAGTACAAAATTTCAAGTTCGGCAATTAATAATCTTTATCGAAAGAACAAGAAAGGGTAAGTGGTTTTCATTGGCCTTAGATAGTTGCGTTTAACGTCCACACCGGCCGCCTCGCGTTAACGGAGCATCGCTTGTCCAGAGGGCGCGCCACTAACTGCTTAAGATATACCCCAAACCGGCTCCGGCGGTTCTTAACTCAATAATATACCATTTAATCACCTGAGTCCCACACAACCCGGCACTTGTAATAATTGATATACGATTTGTGTTTTACCCAGCACCCCGCACATCATCCAACAGAATGTGCACTTAAACAACCTAATACAATGTTTAACGACTTGCGTCTTTGTAATCTAATCAAACTGTTATTTTTGTATTCATAATTAAGAGCACTGAATGTTTTTGCATAATCAAATATTACAGTAATTGGAATATTCGACGCCGCCCAGTGATTAATTTAATTTATATCATAAATTATTCCAGGATTACGGCCAAAATTGACGATGAAATGTTGGCGTATTATTGCAATGAGGATCTATTCCTGCTGGAAGTGCGGCCGGCTGGAGCCAGCGAGGACGAGCCTCTCTATGACATTACCTTCGTCGAGTTGCCGCTTGAGCATTAGCCCCCGTCGCAGCCGAGAGAAGCAGCGGCGGTCATGTGCCAACGCCCGAGCTCAGCCTCTACGGATCTTCGCCACTCTACAGCCAAGCGCCCTGCGTACACGTACTGGCGACATAACCACTTGTGAAAATGGACTCTTAATTCGATTTTTAGCTGTGGCGTGTTTTGGACAATCGTATTGACCTTCCCCGTACACTCATTATATAAAATTATTTATAAATGGGATAATGTCTCAAAAAGTGTCGATCTCAGATTGAAATTTACTTTTAAGTAATTCATCAACCTAACTTTGTTATACTGGAATGTACTCGTCACATTTTTTTCCGGTCGTTGGCATGGTGAGTCGACGAACCGAAAAGTAAGCACTTGTAAATATTACACACATTAGTGCCTTATGAAATCACAGAATGTAATGTAATGATGTGGTGGTGGCAAGGGAGATGGCTATAGCGAGAACATATCAATATATTTGACCATCAAAGTCTAAAACATAATTTTCAACGAATGATCTGATGCTGAATAAACGTGTGTGCCATTCACTCGGTTATTATAATAGATATATGTTTATATAGTTATCGATTCAACAGGTACCTTTTAATCTTGCCATGATGATAAAGTAAGAAAATCTTGTCACAAAACCTTATGTAGAGATATATATCTACAGTGAGTTAAAAGTTAATAATGTGCCTTCGACTTAATCATTATAATTATTATCTTTTATTGTAAGTGTGTTAAGTCAAATTAAATGCCATCCACTTTGTTAAGTTTTCTAAACATAAGTTTGGTTATAAGTTCGCTCAATTCATTCACTTAGTAACGATGATTTAGTTTTTAGGAACGAACACCGCGTCTGTTGTTTCTGTGCTTGATCAAACGAATTTAAATATTATTTTTAAGAAACATATTGAAATACAACTATAAGTGGTATTTATCCAACAGCTTAACCTTGTGAGATTGGTATACTATATACCACACAAAATTAATAAATTAAAATTAATAACCCACATTTTAAATTAATGTAATGGAATCAACGGGCGTATTACAATTCTAAACGAGACATAGTCATTTTAAACATAGTCACATCCATCCGATAAACATTTACATTATCATCGACGGGAGTGGTTTGTGTATAATTTAAGATTTTTATTATTGATAATAGAAGTTAATATTATAATTGAATTTCGATACGCTAAGTTATCGGGCCATGACAACATTTTAGATTATGAAAAGTATTTTCTGTCCAAGACTTATAGACTTACGTATAAGATGTCGTATGTTCTAAATATATTTTTTTATGTATTCTGTACCAATACTTCTATCTACATGGACTAGTGTTACATACAAACATTTTCTGTAAATTTATTACAACAAAGAAATCTTAGTTGCCGTATATCTTTTCAAGATGTTTTATACAGTTAAGTTTTCTCCACCGATGTATCTTCCAAAATTCAGAACCAGGTTCTGTTCTAAACGAATTGGTCGTAGATGTCGCTCATGACGAATTAGAGTTGTGACTAGTGCGGACGGTTCGATTAACTGCCATATTACACATAGTTTAGATTACTTATCTTAGTTGTAGATTCTAAGCATAGTTCGTTTTATTGTCACGCGACCTTTGCAGGTAGGCATCGAATTTTAATTAAGATGATGTTATTGATATTTACGTATTCTGTGTATTGTTTTTGTTTCTTTTTCTTTGCTACAAACGCGTCGCGAGTCGTCACGTTTAATTCGGTCTTTCTATCAATCGTTTTATTTGCATTTTACACTTGTTAATGTATCTTCACTACCCAAATAGAGCTAAATTTTCTATTTTTTATTTGCTCAAAGTCTGCACTCGCCATTACAGTGCGCGGTCTCTAACGTCACATTGTTATCACATAATATCTACTATTTAATATACCTACCTATTCATTTAATATTTATTTATGTACTTATAGTAAATTGTGCAGCTTTAATGTTTACTTACATGGTTTTAGTTCGTGATTCAGAATCTCGTCATAAGTCACAAACGTCAGTAGCAATAACGTAAAGCAGTAGTAATTAATGGGCTAGTTCTCGGCACGTCGCCAATCGCCGCCGTGTTGTCGCCTGACGTTGTGCAATGTATCAGAGTTTTACTTTAAATTAGTGTGTAATGGAGTCGGATTGTACCGAGTGGTACGATGAAGGGTAGATGAGGTAGCGAGTTCGCAGGCAGGCTTGGCGAAGCGGTGACGCGCCGCAAACTACCGCCACGGAGTATAGTCACACTAGTTAAAGACACCCCCGAAAGTGGTAGCACATTTTCGTTAATAAATTCTACTGTACTTAAGTTTTAAATGAAATAGATGTTACGTTATTCTTTTATATGAATATTTGTAAGTTGTCATAAAAATATTATTAATATAATTATTTTTATCAAAGTTTATAATCTAAATAAAAATGTTTTTCTTCAAAACATTACGACATTTTTCTTAATTCACGTACATTCCTAAATGTCCTGAATTAGATTTATTAACGTCCGTGATTCCGCCCCCTTTGTTATTTACAATTTAGACGGAAATTCTTTTTACGGAATTTAGCTTTTTACCTAAATGATTTAAATCACTCGTCGAAACTCTAAAATATGAACTAGTAAATTGTTTATGTTCTGTATCTACAGTCAAACAAGAGTTAACTTCCAAAATTATTTTAATGAATTTTGAGAACAACAATAAGATTATTATTTACACTCTGAAGCTTATAATAGTCACAAAAGCAGAGATATAGATCGAAAGATTACATAAAGACAGTTAAGGACAAAAATCACAATGAAGTTTTTGCCAGACACTGAAAGCAAGCTATTAGAGTCGGAAAGTTTCTACTTTGAAGATCAGTCAAATACATTTACACGTAATTAATTTATTTATATAGTAACATAATGTTATGTTATTCATCAAAACATAGTTCTTCTACTCTATTATAGATAGTTTAAAACGTAAATTTTACCATTTTTGTATCATTATCTCACACAAAAACAAAGAAATTTTCGAACAATTAACTTGAAGTAAAACTTTAAAAACGATTTCTTTATCAGCTTGAGTTTCAGTTATATTTAAATAAAAATAGATATCCAACGTTTTTCTTGTTATTTGGCATATCGAGACTAACGATAACTTAAACTAACTATAACAACATTAACAAGTTACCTGATCACGTAGTTAAAATTTAAAAGTTAGAATAAAATTATTTTCTACTACTTAATACTTTTTTGATACCGATTTCTCCGTAACTATAACTAACAAAACACATGAATTATCAATTTGTGTAACCACGTAATAATAAAGATAAAAAGCATCGTACAACATTTAGAATTTTTTATTTTATATTTCCGTGCCAGTGATACTGGAGGACTAACATATATAATAAAAGCTCAACATTTTATACGACTAGCTAGACGAAATCCATTCACAATAGTTTTTTTATCTTGGTTAAAATTTTAGAGAAGAGTAATTTTCAGGTTAGTTTTTATCTACCTAATTTTGGTGACAATTTTTATTATTTAAGTATTCGGGTATTTTATCTTGAAATATTAAATAATATATCAGGCTACAACACTCGAATATTAATGAATACTTCATGATCCTATTCTAGAATATTAGAATAATAAAAATTGCCATCAAAATTAGATAGAGAAAACTAACCTGAAAATTACCCGGAAATATCTATTTGGCGCGTACCTACACTTATTCCTTATAAAATAACCAACACCTAGACTAATTCACGTCCTTTCTATTATCCTATTCCCGCTTAACTAGTTTGTAGCAGTAACTTCAAGCAGCTGTTAAGTTGTCATATTCACGAAACATAATGTTTCAAAATTTAAGCGTCGAACCACGTTGAATCTTATTTATTTCTTTACATCAATTATCATTCCATACCGAAACGGTAACTTTGCAACAAGATTGCACTGTTTTCGCACGATTGTAGAAAACCAAAATTGCACGCACATTGTACTCGTAAATAATCTCTTTCTTTCTCATCTTTCATACAAAGGATGTCAATGCGCATATCATTACCCGACATATTATTTTCTACACCAAGAACAGCTTTCAATCATTTAAGGAATTTAAACTATAAAGTAAACAAAAGAATATCGAGAAATTACTATACGAATCTTGTCGTAAAATTCTGTTTCGGATGTCAGGTCTCCGCATTTAAATTTGTATTTTGAACCGTTCTCCATCGGAACAGTTCATAAGTGATGGCTATTGGATTAGCGGGGAGCTTTGGCTGTCGCTGAAGTCCAAAGTGTAGTACATGTCAGTTGTGTCAAGGGCGGCGGACGGCGGGGGAAAGGGCGCGGAGGGCGGTGGAGCTCGTTTATCATGAAGCCAATGATGTGGAGGGCCAGACTCTGTCACTCGAGACAGTCGAGAGAGAAGGCGAGAATAAGTCTTGTTCACGCGGCAGTGGCATGCTGTCACCTGGAACGATACAAAAGTGTAGAGGTAAGAACGATATACAAACACACTTAAAAAGGTTTGATCTGATTTTTCGACCTTACTCAAAATTGAAAGGGAATTTGTACTTTTCTGTTCATAAAGTTCATGTAAATGATTAAATAAAACAAATAAAGGAGGCGTCGAGCGTGCGTACCGGCAGTGATGTAAATGTTTTATAGTCTAGACTCTAGAGCTTCCCAAACTTTTAGGCTCACCACCCATTTAGGCAAGATAAAAAATTTCAACGGCCACCACCACAAAAAATAATTAAAAACATAGTAACTTAACACAAAAAAATCACAAGGAATAAAATATATATTTGTAGTGTCGTTTGTAATATACATAGACAATTCAGGTTTTCTTTTTTTCAAATTTGGTAGCACCCCCTGGACAGCATCAACGCCCCGCAATTGCTTCCGAGACCCCTACCTCCTGGGACTTTTCAGCGCCCACTGGGGGAAAGTAGGGTCACATTGGGAATCTATGCTCTAGACGATCAAGGTAGAGTTGGGGCGGCACTTTTGCGAGTGCCTCAACCGCCTTATTTGAAAATCAGCCGACGTTTAGAGTGAAATATCAAATATGTGCACGAAAACTATTAGTGTATTTAAGATAAAAATGAAAGCTAGCAAACCGTATTACGCTTTGACATTTCGCTCTGAACTTCAGGCAGTCCTTTAGTTTTTTAATGATACCAAGAGCCAGGACAACCAAATCGTGCGCCTGGTGGTAAGCGACACACCTGTCCTTAGCAGTTGTAATGCTACACAGAGACTTAAATCGCAAAGATCTGAGGGACACTGCCATTGCGCCCGTCACCTTGATACATAAATTGACAAGTCTTAGAGATCTCTAATTTCATCAGCAGTCTTACCCTTCTAAACCGGAACGCCGTAATGCCCACATTGCCGCTTGAAGCCAGTAATAGATAAGGTAGTAGTAAGGCAGGACTTCACTGAACGAACTCATTCACAAGCAGCTCTACTGCTACAACGAGTTCAGTTTAAATGGTCAGGCCGATAATAGCGAGTAATGAGACTTACCACAACTCCGACGATAGCAATAGCAGCGCCAAGTGTACCGGCAGCGATGTAAACGTTGTGCAGACGATCGTGGTACAGGCCGAGCGGCAGGTGCACTTCGCGTACGGATCCTGTGCCGCGCAATTCCTCACGCATGGTCACCTCGTTGCTCACCACTGATTCCAAGATGAAGTCTTCTGTGGATAGAGAACAAATACTCGTACAGACTTCAAATATTCGTTCACTGTTAATTTTCAGCCAAAATAAGGATAAAGAGCACTTTTCTTAAAACAATGTTATAAGCGTAATGTGTAACGATGACGGGACGGGAGTCTCCCAACCGTCTTATTTGAAAATCAGCCGACGTTTAGTGTGAAATATCAAAGACGCGCACGAAAACTATTAGTGGATTTCAGAAATTGAAAGACAGTAAACGAGTACGCTTTGACATTTCGCTCTGACTTCCGGCTTTCCTTCTGTTTTTTAATGATATCAAGTCGAGCGTCTGATAATAAGCGACACGCCTGTCCCTAACAGTTGCAGTCCCACCCGGGGCACAGCCACTGCGCCCGTCACCCTTACACATAGTTGATAGTTCCATGTGCCTGTAATTACACCAGCACCCTTACGCTTCAAAACCGGAACGCAGTAATGTTCACATTATGGGTAAGGTGGCAGTACTTCCCTGGAGTCTTCACAAGGAGCTCCACTGCTAGTAAAAATATTAAATACTACAGGTATTTCCAAACAGTGACTACAAAATATTCACTTTTGTGAACTCATTTAAGTCCCAATATAAATAAAAACGAACTAAATAAAAACATACCTTCACAAAGCTTGCCGGTGTAACCTGGCCGGCACGAGCAGTAAAAGGAGTCGATGTCGCTCCAGCACGTGCCGCCGTGAGCACAAGGGTTGTTATCACACGGCTGGAAACAATATAACATGCATCGAATCAATCCATCGTCCACATCCTCACTGCTACGACAGTCATTTAATGAGAGAAAGCCCGAGGACACGGTAAATTCACTAGGCCCACAAAATGTTACATAGGGATCTATGACGACTAAAAAGGAGAATAATTGTGACTTTTTATTAAAAAATCGACATCAAAAGTTCGTGGAGTTACATCTATTTGCCATTGAAATCGGTAATCAGAAAGTGCGCGAAACCGTATTCATTCCCTAGTTTTCCAGCCTTAGAGGTGCAATATTTTCTTTAAATTTAAATGGGACTAATACTGAGGTACCCTCTTTCCAACAAAAAACAAAACCTTAAAATCGATTCACAAAGTTAAAAGTTATCGCGTAACATACATAAAAAATATAATCGAATTGCGACCTTCTCCTTTTTTTTTGAAGTCGGTTAACAATAATAAATAGCGAACATAAATTACATCCCCCAAGTTTAGAAACTTCAACTAGTGGATGGCAAACCTTGTTTCGTTTGAAATTCGCAGCTTTAAAACAAAGTAGCTCGGTGTTGTTCCCGAACTATCGGACGCATAAACTTCCATCCCGATCTACGTAATTTAGTGCTGCAGTGTCACTGGCAGCAATAAAACAACATTTGATTAAGCGTAATTTAACCTAAGTAGATTTTGTTATACATATATGAATAGCATGATTACAATAAGAAACGGTATTGATGTGAAGCTTGATGCGACTGAGAAATCAACCTAGTGCAAGGTGTACTAGTGCATTAGGGTTCTGAACCTAACTATTTTAAAGCAAGTCATGGACGTTTGGAAAATATTGCTCCTTGCTTTTACGGGGTGCCGTACCCCCTCTTTTCCTTCTTTGTAACACCTTTATTTCAGGAGTGCATAGAAATAATAAATGTTTCTTTTTTATGATGTGAAGCGTAGGGACGAATAATTCATGCGCCTGGTGGTAAATGACATGCCCAACCAACCAACAACAATGCAGTTACTGTGCAATTAAGAGCTTTAAACTGCAAAGATCTGAAGAGCACAACCACTGAGACATAAAGATCAGTCCTTTGTGCCTGTGATTTCAATAAAATGTTATAAACTATGTAACAATTTCTTAAGATGATGATGACTTACAGATCTCGCAGGGATGTGACATTCGTCCCCGATGAAGCCACGAGGACACTCACAAGCGTAACTATTGCCGTGGTCCACGCAAAAACGGTGTTCAGGACACGGATTCGGAGAACATAGATCCACCTACACCAAATTTTTATTCCACATTTATATGTACATACATGTAGGCAAGTAGATTCTAGGTAGATATAATGCACAGGAGATAACAATGAAAGGAAATCACCATCAAATACTCTCCGTAATAGTTTGTTGAGGTGTTATATTGTTTTTGTTATTATTAATTGTTTTTTTTTTGATACCAAGTATGATAGGAAGTGACGGGACGAACAAGTCGAGTGCCTGGTGGTAAGCGTCATGTCTTTCCATAATAGTTGCATTGTCGTTTATAGTTTTAAATCGTAAAGATCTGAGGGGCACTGCCACTGCGCCCAACACGTTGAGGCATAAGTTGAAAATCCCCATGCCTGTAATTTCACCAGCTCCCTTAATACCCTTAAAAACCGAAACGCAATAATATTCACATTACTTCTTGGCGGCAGAAACAGGTCAGGTGGCAATACTTCCCCGAAAGAACTTTTGTGGAAAATATTTCATTATTCTCTATCCAAGGGCCATTTTACGAAACTTCGTATATTGTTTATATAACTATATTTGTACGAATTGCAAAAATAATTAGTTTTTTTGTGTGTGTTTTTATGTTTACTATGTGACATTTAGCTACGAAAACTTTTTGGGCTACTGGGTTTAAAATAATCTCTAGTAAAGTACCAAGTGTCGCTAGAATGACAATTGCAAAAACCAGTTTTTCTCAGAAAATTTTCAAGTAAACAGTGAACACAATCACAATTATTTAATAAAAAGATTAAATCGAATGAAATATTTTACTATTTCTAAAAACGAACATAGTGATGACCTCAGTCGCCCAATGGCTTGGAATGTTGGCGTCGGATGAGGAGGTCCCGGTTTCGATTCTTGGTAAGATCAATTTGCATTTTGATTATAAATTGCATTCCGGGCTAGGTGTTTTCGATATTTCTTCGGTGAATTCCGTTGCTCTTGTACTCTAATCAGTACACGTATATAGATAATTTGCGTGGTTACGTTATTGTTATTATTACAGGGAGAGAGATTTAAATACAATATTCGTTATGACGCTGAAATTGTGCAATCGCGTTCATTTAGTTCAAATTTATCAATCAAATTTTTATTTCTATTTTTGCAGTCGTATCGCCCGCACAATTTACGGAACTAAATAGCGGCGTAAAAAACCGTGTTAGCCTGGTGATATTTTCACAGCATAGAATGTTAACTTACCTTGAGTTGGCAGGTATTGCCGGTGTAACCTCGGCTGCAGGAGCATGTGTAACCTCCCACACGATCAGTGCATGTACCTCCATTCGCGCATGGAGAAGATTCGCACTCGTTGTATTCCACTTCGCAGTGATCACCAGTGTACCCTGGACAACGTATGCTACATGTAGGTATAAATAGGAGTGGGCTAGTATATTGTCTTATTACATGAAAGTATCAAAGCGTCGAAAAGAAATTCGAAAAAAAGAGTTTCGAATTTTCACAAAGACGACGTGAAAGAAAATAACAGGAAAAAGTCAGGTATACACAAACATATTAAAGCAGTAAGATCGAAAGCAATTTTTTTAAAGATTGTGCGACCTTTTTAGTCGGCTCCTTTTCAGATATTCCCATTCAGTAAATACAAGGCAGAGGCAAAGGCGTGCAGGCGTGTGGCGAACACTCCATTTATATTCTATTGCTATAGAGGGTGAATAGCGAACCTTGGTCGCTCGCCCGCGGGGATAGAACAACTCTAACGATGAACATTTTCCACGAGGTGCATACTCAATGGAGACATCTAACAGCGGAAAGCAATCCCACCGCATTCAGCTTTTAGTCGGAATTATCTCACTAGTGGGAATCCGTGACATTCTTTAAACTGTTTCAGTCACGGGTTCCGTACATGTTACTATTAAAACAATAAATTCTATACAAAAACCATTCCAGTTTAGTTTCAGCATTTTCAATTATTGAGAAATTGTATCAGAAATTTGTATGAAAAGCAAAATAAACTTATACCCCCAGCACAAATAGTCTATCCCGAACAAATTCCTTTCAGCAAAAGTAAATCTTGCCTTAGGGACCGCATGTTTGCACCATCCGAATCTACTTTGATGTCGGGAAACCAAAACTTGATTAATTCAACCCGACTTATTTCGTAAAAACAAAGACGCAGCTCAGATATTGCGAGGTTTCTCCACTAACTACTTTTTTCAATTTACTGAATAACTTCCTTTACATCCGTTTGCAGAACAGCCATGTATAAAATTAACAATTTGCCACTGATATTGTTACGTTTTGGTGCAGTAGGGAAGTGACGTAAAGTGGGGCGATAAAATCACCCGCTGTTTGCTAAAAGCAAGTTTGTTTACGCAGCAAATAAGGGTGCGTTCCATTAACCGCTTAGATACCAGCCAGCCAAAGAATCGGTCGAGGGCAACTTTCCAACTACGTCGTAAGTAAATCACCCGTGCAATTTCCCTCGGCCAGCATTAGCAAACAAGAATATAAACCATTACTAAGCGGAATATGGATTCTCTACCGAAGCGCTGCCGTTTTTCTTATTATTCTTATTTGACAGTTCTGCACATTTGCACCCGCAAAATTTTGAATTTTAATTTTTTCCCAAAGACTGAACATGATGACCTTTGACTTCAAATATTTCAGATAGCAGATGGAAACTAAAATCTTAGTCTTCAGTACGATCTGTAGAATTGTGTTTTTTATGCTAGTTTCAAGATCCATGCATATCGGCTGAGTAGCGGTCGATTAATTCAGTTCGTATATTGTGCAATTTGAGTGGATGCCAGAAAGCTTCACTCGCTGCATATCGATAAAATGGACTAACTTCCAAAATGATTTATTATATAATTCAGTGCTGATAACTAATACATTTTCTATAACTCAGTTCTACGTGTCCTGCGCGTATGTCAAAAATGGAAAATTCTGATGTATGTCATTATTTCTCGGCACGACCTTGGCAAGTTCCCATTGACCTAAAAAGTCGAAACTTTACAATTCTAGGGTTTTAAGTGGAGTGTTCCACAAGCCTTTTCAAGTGCCCAAACTTCCTACGAGGGTTGGAGTTAATACATTTGATACACTGCCTAAATCTGAACATCTAACTCGGATTAATAGATCTTAGTTTATATAAGAGTATTTTTAATACAGTGGGTGAACAGTCAAATATGAATTAAATGAAACGGCAGATATACAAACCATATTTGTATTGCAAAAACGAGCGATTCGTTCTGTGTACCGTTTAGGTTCTCGAGTTTCTCTCAGAGAAAAGTTTAAGGAGACTGGTATTATGACTGTGGTATCATTGACTCAAATATTTTGTGTGCCGTAAAAATATACATAATTTTATTAAGAAAGAAGATATTCATAATATTAACCTTAGCAGTAAGTCCAAACTTTTTTTATAAGTGACGGGACGAACAAATCGTGCGCCTGATGGTAAGCGACATTCCTGTACATAACAGCTGCTTTGCCACTCTGAGCTTTAAATCACAAAGATCTGAGGGGCACTGCGACTGCGCCCGACTACCTGAGCCATAAGTTGACAAATCCCATGTTACTGTAATTTCACCACCCTTACTGCTCTCACACATTACTGCTCGGCGGCAGAAATAGGTAAGGTGACAGTACTTCCCTGGACGAACTCTTTCACAAGGAGGTCTATTGCTACTACATATGGTGCCACGATTTTGTTTAAGGTAAACGATTATTTTATGGGGAACATTTTTAGAATAAGATTTCGGAGCATATATTAAGATTATCATTTCCTAAGTTCAAAACTTGCATTAAAAGTATTTTAATTGAATACTACGTGTTAGATAGAGATGTATGGAAGACAACACGACTCTAGATTCCACACAAATTTTATTCAAGTTGAATGTATGGCATTTAAGTTTATTTGAAAAGAGCAATCCCTGGACTGGAATTTCTGGTTCTTCTCAGGGAAGTTAGCACAGTGAACGAGCAGTAGCTTAAAAATGACGTGTAAACTGATTATACCTATGGAATCAATGATTAATTGACTTTGACTTTGAATATGTTCATCATTAGATTTTACTTACCGGGCTGACAGAAACACCTAAACTTTTCTTCTTGTATCTGTTCATCTGTGTGTTCGATGCATATTCCGTTAACGCAAGGGTTGGATGCACAAGCGCCTTCCACGGCGGAAATATCGCAATGTGCGCCCATCCACCCTTCCGGACACGCGCAATGGAATGTAGTTGAGCCATTCAACGCCATACTCATACAGGATCCACCATTTAAGCATGGTGCAGATGAACATGGATCCTTCTCACACTTTCTGCCAGTAAATCCTGCGTAACAAAACCATTCCTTTATTGAAATAAACTGAAAGTGAAGTCCAAAAAGGAATAATATTGCATTAGGACGCGTCATTGATTGTATTGGAATAATGAATACATTATCGAAAATCCGAAAACCCTTTCCAAGCACGAAATTGGCTGAACAATTATGTAACGGTGCCGCTCGCAGCCGGAGCACCAGATTGGGTCACATTGACGTTTAATTGACCGAAAAACGAAATTTATTATGGTTGATACCATCAGATATATAAAACGCTACCATGTACTGTAATTATGTAAAGCAAGGTCGATTGCATTATTACATTATAATTGTCATCTTTCAATTTTAGGAATGTCTATAATTTATTATAATTAGGAATTTGCGTACATGAAACCATGACAATTCCTAACTTACCATAAGGACAAAGACAGTGGAAGTTGCCGGTGTTGACCCCGTTAAGAGGTTGCGTGAGGTCGACACATATGCCGTTGTTTAAGCAGGGTGATGGATTACAAGCGTCTCTTTCTTCGCAGTGTGGCCCCGTGAATCCAGGACAACACTGGCACTCGTAGCCTTCCTACAATCGACTACATTAATATTCCTGTCGGCGGCTTTTCATTTACAGTAATGACTTATCACAAACTATTTCAATGAATTATATACCTACCATTGAAACGTTTGTATAACAGACGCCATTTCCAGAACAATCTTGGGAATCTCCGCAGTTATCCGACTTAACTGTTACTTTTAGACGGACACATTGTGTTCTCCAGTTTTTTGATACCACTAAAAATAAAACATTGTGTTACTAAGAGCTCTAAAGCAATAATATTTCGGTTATTAAATCAACGGACAGGTGTGAAACGTTATTGAACGAGCTATCGTCTCTATAATTTCTTGCGTGTCTGTGATTTGACGCTAGTAAAGCTATCTTCGGTTTTCCTTCCACATTTCCTTCCACACGCATGCATATGCATATATATTTCACACATTCCTTCAACCCGCGAGTATTCATATCGTTTATATTTCAAACGATAGTTAAAAACAGCAATGTAGAATAGAATTATAAAAAAGTCTTTTCGCCCTTCCCTTTATTAATTAATGAAGTCCGTGTGCTACGTGACCGGACTTGGGAGCGTCGCAACCACTCACAGTGAGCTATTTTATGTAGTCTGAGTGCGTACCGCGCGCACGTGAGCTGCAATATTGAACAGTACTAGCTCATCACGAAGATTGCATTTTGGTCAGGTATGTGGCAGTTTTTATTCACCTATAAACAAGTTGACGCCTTCCATGAGGTCCTTGTCGTAGAGCGTGAAGAGCTTAGCGCCTCCCTCTTCTAAGGGAGTAATATCAAGCAGCATGCCATCGGAGACGTCGCAATGCTCGTGCCCTTGTCGGGTCACCTGGTACACGGAGGGTTGCAAAGGCAAGTGATGTACCCTGAAAAAACGCTTTTGCTTTCAAATTACTAACACAATATAACCTGCCTCAACTATTTGATTTTGCTAATAAAAATACTTTGACGTAAATTATTTTTTGATATTCTTAGAAAGAAGTGGCCATACAAATAACAAATCGTAAATCATAAATAGTATATAAGCCGTTTACGGGTCACTGCTTGCATTTAACAGGTCGTTATCTCAGAATCTAAATATAAGCTCACCTCTCTCCGTCCGAGTGCGAAAAGTTTGCATCGAGCGCCTTCTTCACATCGGGCTGGGCAATGGTATCCACAAGCAAAGAGTCAGCGATGCGGACGATAAGAATGTCTCCGCTCTGGATGTCAGCGAAACCCTCCCACGACACGATGACCGGGGGGCATTCGTCTTCAGTACCCGGCGTAGTAGACCCCGCACCACCCCCGCACTCCTCCACCATCCATACCGCAAGTCACACATATTAATTACCAAGTCAACCTCAGTGGAAGCGCACATGTAAATGTATTTATTATTTTCATTTAGAATTTTCTTTTAATGCATAAGTAAATATTTAAAGGAGGCATTAAAGGAAAATATTAATTACGTAGCTTTTGCTCAGGTTATAAGAATTTAATGACAATGCGCTCTTATATTGTTGGATAAACGGTTTGAAGGAATCCTTTTTACATGAAAACAGTAAAAAAAATGTATTGTTAGTTTCAGCTTTTCTTATTTCAAGTCATTCAATGAGCATATTACATTACAAATCCTAAAAACTATGTCTTTGGCGAAGAAAGTTTATTTGCATAACATAAAATATCCTAATACAGTGCTATCACGGAGCTGAATTTTAATAACATCGAAAAAAATGCGAAACTCATTAAGGTCCGCATAATCTTGAAACCATCTTATTCATCTATGTAATAATAATAAGGCAGCCTACCATTTTCTGTCAGTACAAGTAATGAACAGAGTTCTACCACTGAAGCAAAAAAACTTTCCCCTTTTTCCTCGACTTAAAGACGATTTATGGTTTATGTATTTGGCCTCGCTGCGCTACTGTCACGATCAAACTTGTGAACAAGTATATTATTATCTATAAAATAAACACACCCGAGTCAATTTTCGGTAAAATACGTTTTATAAATTGCTTTCAAGGATTAGGTTTAACGTCGCATGTGTTTTGATATTAAGAATATTTTCTTTCAGGTATTTTTTTAAGAAATCTAGGGGTGTTAATGCCTGTTTTGGCTTTTATAATTTTACGGTTTTACTTTGGTTGTAAGCGGCATTGAGACGGTAGAAAAACACCTACATATAAAATTTTATTTGCAATAAATATGACAGCTTCTGAATATCAACTTTATTGAGCTTTTGTTTTTGCTTTTCGGTCAAACTAGTATGTAAATATACTAAATATATAACATAAGTAGTGAATAATTCATAGATAACTACGTTTCTTTTATTTCGCACACTCTACAACATATGTATATGTAGTATGTTTATTATTGCATGTTTGTTACGTTTTTTTTTTCTAGGCTTAAAATATTAATTAAATAACAATGTAATTAAATATAACGGTTAATAGAGGTACTTAGATAAGCATTATATTTTAAGGATGCTCAAAACAAGCAAAATTAATAAAGTACAGGCTGCCATTAAGGTCTTATTGAGCATCGGCCACGGTCATCAATAACATTTAATGAAACCAACACAGCTCCATGAATTAACTACATTATTAATGATTAATTATTGTGCCCAAACATTTCTCATAAATGTGTCAGTAGGAAGTACACTTTGATATTAATAGCATTATTTAGAAATTTCTATAGAGGTTTATCTATTACGTCGATTTCAAAAAGCTTTTAGGAAATTTGCTCGCATTTTCTACTATATTTATGGTGCATGAATAAGACATTTACCAATCGACTTTAAAGAAACTTTTATACAAGACAATTTTACTTTAAAAAAGCTTCATATTATGTGTAACTCTTAGTAGTAGTAACACGGTAAAATTATTTGTGAATATTTAAGAATACGTATTATAGGGCGAATACCTCGACACTCAATGCGATTTAACCTCTATTGTGAGTTACCACTGAGTTTAACAGTACCTCATTGAACCCTAATTGCCGCCGTAAAGCGGATTAATCCTTGATAGCTTCAATAGATACCTCCTGGCTTTTGAGATGTCCTTGCTTGTTAAGGTTAAGCGCTAGACATTCACTAAGGATATGGATGGGCGTTTCATCTCTTTGCAATAGAATATTATAATTTGCAGCCGACATGCCACTTAGACTTATTGTTTGGGGGGAAATCGATTTTGAAATCTCTAATTAGCGCTTTGTTCTTGACATCAAGTTCGCTGCCTGTCGCTGTCCGGTACATCTACATGAAAATCTAACATACTATATGGTCAGTAACTATGTGTTAAAATTTAAGTAAACTTACCGTAACAGGAAGATTGAGTTCATGAGTCTCATTTCCTCGCCAGAGTCTCGACTTTGTGGGCAGCATGGGCAGATCGCAATCTATTGCCCCCAGACGCTCTTGAAACCTTGCAGGGGAACGCGGCGCATTCGTGCTCGCACTTGCACTTGTGCTCCCGAGTGCACTAGAACTATTGTTTAACTTTTGCCTTCTTGCACTCTGTGCTTTGCCTTTTGTGCTCGTGTATACTTTAGTCGTTGAATGGCGAGCTGTGGTCGGGCTCTCACTCGCCTTATAAGCTTTTGTTGGTTTAATGCTTTCCTTTGTAGTTGAAGTAGTCTGCACTACAGTAGACGCTAATGGCTTCGACGTTTTCAGCGTGGAGTAGATAAAAGGCGTAGACTGCGTGGCTGGAGAGCTTGATACTGTTTTAATCTCATCCTTAGCATTTAATGTTGTATCGCAAAAACACGCGCTAGCTAATGACAGGATTAGCGCAGTCCGCGGCGACAAAAAGGACAATATCTTTGGGCAGACCTTCATTTCGCTCTATTAACAACTTATGTTCTTTACGTCCTTGTCTTGCTGATTTTAAGCGCTTCTATACTTTTTTGGCGCACAATATCTAAACTCGTTAACATGTCCTGCTAAAACACATTTTATAAATTAACCAAACAGCTATTAAGAACTGAAAAGAACAGCACATGTATACCAACAAATTTGAATCAGAATATTCTAATTCGTAAAAAAACCATCGATGCTGACGGGTCGAGACTGTAAATTCGGGAAAGTGAAGCTGAAGTTCTTATTGCCCCGGAAATAAGAGCCGATTCTTAATGAAAACATCTTAGGGGCTCTCACCTCGAGTGGTGACCTTCTTCAAGACAAGATTACAGACCATGGTTTCAGTTTGCTCAATCAACTTGCATTTAAAATCAATTTTTAAATGTATTTGAAACATATTTCAACTGCTACAATGAGGTGCATCGTAATACAGATTGTTACCTGAAAGCAAGTTGGTTGGGACTAGTCATACTAAAATAATTTACAATACGTGGTTAAATTATGTAAAAGTTCATAGGTACTTACGTAACATTCTTATCAGCGTGTTTATTTTCTTTATTTTCAAAGCAACATACGACAGTAAATTTATTTTAATCCAGAGTAAATGCGAACAAATAGTACCAATTTATCTCACGTGACCACTTATATGAAACATTATTGTGACTTCATCTTAATGCAGAAAGGGCAAAGTTGAAGAATTACGGTCACATTACGATCAGAGGTGCCGAGCACTTGAGTAGAGTTGACAAATGACAGGTGTGACAGTGTGAAATGCGAGAACGTGGATGGTGTAATGTTTGGATCAGCGCGTGTTAAGGCGGCGCGACAGGCAGCGCGGCACAGGGCGGCGGAGTGAGCCACAGCCTCCGCGACACTGAGGGCAGCAGGCACCCGCCCGCCCCGCACCACTACCGCCCGCCCCGCGCACGCTTCACGCCTGTATCTTTACTTAATTTTAGTCCATGCCTGTAACGCCAACGATTTCCTTACCGTGATGGGCTTGGGTTGCGAGATATTCTACTTCCAACAAGAGGGTAGGAATGTATCCTGTGGAACTTTGCAATCTGGGGCAGAGATTGTTGACTTGACATATTTACCTCAGCAATATTTTTTTTTCCATTTACTAATTAAGAAATCAACAATTTGTTTTGGGTATAAGAATATACTGGTATTTTTAATGTTATATTTTATTGCTTCGTGCTATATTTATTAATTTACATAAGTACTATTAATACACGTAAGTAATATTTAAAAGTTCAAAACTGTCACGTTTCGAAATACTAACGAAACACACTAAAACTATAGAAATTCAGTAACTACATAAGTATAATCTTTGTTTAAGTGTTGATTTTGGAATCTGTTGAAGTATGCTCATGCCGCTGAGGCTCTTAAAAGTTACCGAGGGAAGTAATGTCCTTACAAAACTTACAAAAGCATCGTTGACGTAAGTGTTCTCACAAAGAACTCTTGAAACTTGTACTGATAGCGCGATATAAGCCCGAACCAAATTATATGGAAGTATTTTGGGTATGTTTTATTAGTGGTCCTCAAAGAGGATTAGGTTCTTGGGTTAGGCTTGGGATCGAGTGTTGAGCCTTTTAGGTACGGGCATCAGGCAGCGTCCCGTGTGTTGCGGCTGATAAACGAGCGGTGCGGCCCAAGGGACTGGCCGCATTGTAAACATCCCCTGACCCTGCGTGCCCACCGGCATTTATTACGCACATTCCACAAGCTCCATTTCAGAGGAACCTCGCTTATACAATCCAATAAGGGAGATTGCACATATTTTCTCTCCTTGGAAAAGCTACCAATTACCTTTATGTTGCCGTATATAGCGGGCAATATAAATCAAGAATGTTGTGCAAATGAAACTCCTGCGCGATAATATCTCACAACTTTGAACAAAAGATCAATCTTACTCTAATGTAGAAGCTACATTTATTTCAGCGAGTACTATGAAAGCTGCAGTCACAAGTGATACTAAAAGTACTAACAATATAGCATACTAAATTTACGACAAAATTGGTTGATATACGTTACTAACGCCAATCTTTATACATAAATAACTCAGTGTAACTTCCAATCTTTTAAGCGAAAATTATACAATTAGAGCTTAAGAACACGGCATACATATATTATACGCGCCGCAGACGCGCTGTAGTGAATAGATTCAAATGCGTACAAACATCGCTTTGCTAGCAAGAAGCTTATATACTCCATTGGAATTTACACTTAGATTTCATATAGGTAGTTACTTCATTTCAAAAACTAACTGTTATTAACAAACAAAACTAAAATTGGACGTAGTTACACAACACAGAAAGGATCCAATGCACATCCAGTCACTTTCGAGATATGGCAGTTTGACGTTGAAAAGTGTTTCTCACTGTTGTTTTATTTTCAAAACTTTTAATGTCATGTAACTCCAGAGATATTTATTTATGTTTATATGTTGGATTTTTTTGCTGATCTAAGAGACTACACTTTAGGAACCGTTTAATACATATGACTCATGTTTTGATAATTTTGTGGATTGGACCTTTTTGCTTAACTACGTCCAATTAAAACTATCTCTTATCAAAATGCGCGAACATACACGACGACGATACGACTACAGCGCGTCTGTGGCGCGAATACGCGCAAATGACGCCGCGCACGTTGTAAGTGCGTATAAAATGCGCCCGCGCGCTGAGTGCATAAGCTCTTTCAATATTAAGTTCTATGGCTTCTCATGTCATTATTTATTGTTTAGTTATTAGCTTCTTGTTTATGTGTCATTTGTGTGTGTATGATCGAAATATTATATGTGTTTGTTCTTTTTATTTCTTGTATAATTTTATATCGTAATTGTCCAATGTATGTTTGCTGTGTTGTTTCTGTATGGAATAAATAATTTATATTTCGTATCTGTACATTACACTGCTTTTGACAAAATTACTAAATTCACTGAAAAACTTATTTCCTGTGTCATAAATATTTTATGCGGAAGTTGTGATCACATTTATAAAACATTCTGCAATTGCAACGCTTTTTGTGTAGAATTTATACACAGAAGGAAGGTCGAATACATTTATTACAAGCAGTAATATCTTTGCTTATATACTGCAATTCATAACGATTCAAATAATAACAATCAACTGTCTCCATGGCTGAACGGTTACCATACTGGTTTGCCACGCAGAGGTACCACCCAAGTTCGATTCCCGGGCCGCTGGGAGAAATATGTGGCTAGTGCGGGGCTATGAGTATGTACGTTATTTTATTTAGGTATTTTAAAACATGATTTAGGTATAAATGGTAGTTTAAATATACGTACATAATAGTTACATATTATTCATTTTTATATTTGTGTAGCTGTATACGTTGCAATATCAATGAAAGAAAAAAGCATTTTGCGTTGTAGACACATTTGTTGAAACAACAACAACATTTTAAAATATCAGGTTTCAACAATTTGTTGAAACCTGATATTTTAAAATGGTTATGCACATTTGGAAACTTTTGCGGGCGTAGGCACAGCAACTCACTAAAATTTTATCAGAATGAGTAATAATTGATCGCATACGGGGCAAACGTACAAACATTCATTTTCATATATACAGATGATGGTGACATTCAATCGAGTTAGTTAGTATTCTGGATCCATTCTCCAATATACGTCACATTGACATATTACGTAATGTGAAAAATAGTCCGCGAATGCGGGGGTAACAAATCACAAAAGCATAAAATATTATTTTATCTGTGTGAAATATATCCGCTCAGAACGATATTTTACTTTGCTCTGTATCTCCGTTTACCGTATGGTATATAATGTACGATACAATTCATTAAAGTTTGATTAATTATACTGTGAATTATATTTTCCGACCCACAACGTTATACATATATGCATATTCCGGACCGGAGACAAAAATTACACGGTTTTCTGGCATCGCGTACCATGACAATGTTGTGTTAATTCAGGACGAGAAAAATATTCATTGTCATCTCTTCTGCATATGCTCTTGATTATCATAAAAAAACGGACGAACCGAAACATCTAATGAATATATAATAAAAGTTGAGGGTTTTGCTGCTTCTGACCTGGAACCAAAAGAGGTAACAGTTACAGTCGTTTCAGGGCGTACAAAATTCAACACAAAATGTATGCAGATACGATAGAACTTACTATGGCTATTTTCGTTTACCGGTATCGAAACCTTTTAGCGATACTTTACAAATTCTACCTTATAAGAAAGCACTTTGTGTTCAATATTGCACGCACTAAAACATCTATAACGGTTACCTATTTCGAGACAAACTTTTGACATGTTCCGCATATCCCACAAACATGTTCATTTTAATAAGGTACGTTATTTACATTTTATTTGAGGGTAAGTGAGGTTAAATGTTATTGTAGGGATACCTATTAAAACGTATGTTAATATATTTAACATAACACAACCTTATGTACTGTACTCGCGGTTGTTTATGTAGATATATCGCTTCGTGAATATTAATTAAACCTTTGGGGTGATAATACCTTGGGTAGGTACGGTAAACGGCTCTAAAAATAGCGTATGTATGTACGAGTATACCGCCCGAACGCGTGTGGGATATACAGAAAAACCTATTATGTTTAAAACAGTAAAGGGTAACTAATGTTTTTACGTAAACAGTACACAACTTTGTTTGTGTCTGCCTACAGACAAACTTTCAACGCAGCCACTTACGTTGAGTAGCAAACACCCTCCGTCGCCGTGCCACATAAAATGTCTTTTTATGGAAATCCTCCCTCATCGCGAATATGTAGAATTTCAGACATTCATATCAAGTTATGCGATCGGCGTACGAGTAAAATGCCAGTTTTATTTGCCTTCATCTTATGTGAGAGCTTACCGACGAGTGCTCGTATATTTTATCTTGACTTTTAACTCTTGACATATATATCTTGATATATATATATATTGGTACTTGGTGTAACGCGCTGGTGTCCGCAACTCGACGTCAAGGCGCCTATTTTGCGTGTGTGTATTTATATATATATATATACACTCCCGGACACGTAAGTCGAGCCACCTTGCATTTTCAGTATTAATTGACCTAAGCTTAAACAATGTTTGATTGACCGAAAACTACTAAGCTGTTTTGAAATTGGTATATTAAACGTCATTTCCTTGAGTCCTAGTTGATAATTTGAATTGAAAAAACTGGGAAAAACTGTTTTCTTCGGTGATAACAATATTTTTGTGTTCTGCCCTATAAGAATAAAAATGCAAGGTGGCTCGATTTATGTGTCCGGGAGTATATATTCGACATATTTATAGCGTTAAAAGTCAAGATAATATAGATAGATAGATATTATATTATTGAAATTGAAACTATTTTTCAAACAAACCAAGCAACATGTCGATTACAGCTGACTCATCCCTAAATAGCACGAAACGTTGGTTTGTTTAAAAAATAAATAAATATACGTTATTTAGATCCGAAAAAAGTAGTTTCATTTCCAATGAGTAAGAATCGCGTAAACGTTAGAACGCTATATTATCATTATTGAGATACGTAGAAATTGATATCACTCGAACTTGAAATGATTGCCGACAATTTATGATAATGGAACTGGAATTGGTTCTATGATTGCAATAGAATTGAGGTGCTATATCTCTAAAATTCATTCTCGAAGTAAAGAGACGTATCACATCGCTTCTATACAAAATCAGTGGAAATTCTGCGAGTATAAGAAGCTTATTTTATTAATTTGATGACCGCGTTGGCCCAGCGGTTAGTACTGAGAGCGCCAGGTGAAGAGGTCGCGGATTCGATTACTGGTAAAACCAATTTAGGAAACGAACCTATTTTAATTTGTTTTT